AGGACCATGTATAAACCGTCGTTTGAGCGAACCCTGTGTCCCTTTTGTTTTATATTTACGAATGAACTTTATGTGTGAAAACGACATAATCCTAAATTACAACTGAAATGCCGACCAGCATAGTTTAGACACGATATAAACAACATTGACAGAAGTGTAGACACGGTGTAAACAACTGTAGCAGTAGACGCGATATAAGCCATATAAACAACAGTAACAGTAGACACGATATCAACCCATACAGTATAGCAATGGCAGGGCTACAAACAACATCACGAGTGAACAACTGTAATGCTTTTTTTAAATGTTTTAAATATCGATGAATAATATTCGGTCACAGGTTTATAAAATTTACCAGACTGTTTCTATTTACATTAACATTCTCTTGACATGTTGTAGTGAAACAGTATTATAACATCACCACCAGGATACACTGCAATACATCAGCAAGTCTTGTTGAGGGCCATAAAACACTTATATTAAGGATTGTATTGTATTTTGTAAAAGTTATAAGATATACGGAGAGAGAACATGTGGTTAAAAGTTTAAATATAACAATTGTATTATATTTTGTAACAGTATAAACTGTATCTGCTTGCATGTTGACAGACTACCATATATCATGTTCAAATGATGTACACGCCGAAGATTAGTAAATATTTCTTTGCGAAAATGATAGGCCATGCGACAGGCATTAACTGACGGTGTTAATTTAGCGTATAATAAGAACATTTTACAAATAATAAAGAGAAAAGAATGTTAAAGGGCATAATATTATTGTTATTTCGCAAACAAAATAACGTACTGCTTGTCTAAATTCTAAAATCCTCAAAATGTTTATAAATAGATACCTACCAGGGTGTGCTAAATGTACTTTCGGGGCAGGGATGTAGTTAACCACTGAGATTTTACTACGAACCATTTTAGGAAAAAGTAATGCCGATGTAACCAATGTCGCCTGGCGGGACGGTTAGAAAGATTTTGAGTAGAAACCATGCTTGGTGGACAGTAATGTCTTAGTAACTATGTACCAGTACATTTGTTTAAGGTACTATACCTACATGAAATGAAATGAAATGAGATTTAACGTCCTTCTGGTCTGCTCCGAATGGGCTAATGATGTTGAAATACAAGATATGGTGCTGATATATATGAATTAGTAAAGATGGCTGAAGCTATTTCCCCATTTCTTCTTTATGAACCGCGATAAAAATAAATCTTTCTTTCGCAAAAATAGAACGGCTCTAAAAATAGTCTAAACATATAACGACAGTAAATTATTGTGTGTTTTGCAAAGCATTCCCAAATAACCTTTGACTAATTATTACATCGTATTTATTATGACTGCCAGAACGACTGTTTTTCATTCGCTTAGCTTTTCTTTTCTTACATTTTATCTCACATACTGAGTATGCATTTCATAATGTACATGTAATATTATGTCCGTAAAATATTTCTTCGTTTCTGCTGTTAGTAAAAATATGATTTAGCCAAAATGGTCCCGCCAGTTGGATCAGCGAGTTCCAGCAGGTTTATGGTGGTCCTTGCTTTAGGAGTTCGTAATGAAATGGGGTTTAACGCCCTACACTGTCTGTACAGTAACTGTTCTATTATGCTATTATACACGCCGCGTGTATCAAGATATATGTAAGATGATACTTACTTTATGAAACACATTATTTTAACAATAGAAGATGCATATATATTTTATAAATTTGGTGGATGCTTACCATAGCATGCTTTATTTACATGTCTATAATTTTCATACGCTCACACTGTAGGCGCGGATCCAGTGGTAGGTCCAGGGAAAAACAAGTCGCTCGCTGATTTTAAAATGCTCACTGTGGTTTATATATTGGATATCAGGAGCCCATATTCTCACGGTAAGATGGCAACACTAATATTGGTTAAAATGAACCAATATGAAATATAATTCGTGTTTTCTCTTGTTAGAGATTTAGCTACTTTAAATACAAAATTATGTGATTTCCGTAATGGAAAATGGTCCTGTCGTAGGTACGTGTGTCGGCACGGAACTGAATCTGGCCCACCTCTCCTAAATGAATGTCGATCATTCTGATACATAAATTTCAAAATGATTAATTTTTATCTTTAACTCTATATTTTTGAGGTAAATTCTATCGAGTGTTATTGTGCCTGTTTATATCAGAGCCACGCATGTGCTGTGATCAGATTTGTGAACTCAAATGGACAGTGGTGACATATTATGTAATATGGAAAGAGTAATTTTACCACTGAGCTCCGCATTAAGTTTATGTACCTTTAATGAAACCTGTTATTTAAGAGGTATAATATTATAATATCAATAGATAAGATCTTTGACACGGGTGTCTTGACAAGATATTGATGTAGGTTAAGGATTGGGCACATTTTATTCTAATAATTATACCCAGCTTATTACGTGCATTTGACTTCAAATTCAGTTTTTCTATTAGCACAAGTCTGTGAAAAACGCCCGAATCATGTTCGGTAATTTAATATACGATTAAATATGTTTTCACATTAGAGGAGACACTCGAGGATTATATAGCATGAAGTGGTTACTCGTATTTTTAATTTGGTTTTATGTCACTGACTTACGTGTAGATTTCAGCGAAATCAGTGACATATAAAATATTTCAAATTTTACAAGAATCGTTCCACTTTCAAGAACACAAACACTAATTATCATGTGGCACACAATATCATCCCATATTTTGTTGATGTAATTAGTCTTAATGGTAATGTTAACCACAACTCATATCAAATAAATAAAAATATTAGAACTTAAAAGTATCCCTCCTTGATGTTGTTATAAATATTGAAAATTATGAATGTATGTGATCCATTTCGTTAGAATTTATTGAATTTTAATATCCATCAGTTCTAGAAAGTATCTCGTGAGATGCAGTAAAAGTCCACTACATTGTAAACACATCCTGTATCGTTATTAGTGATTCAACGATTAACGAATAACGCACTGGTGCACTTGTTTTCGTTGGTCTACATATCAAAAGCGTTTCACTGCGTACTTCCATTAAACCTATAACGTTTTCTTCTTCTAATAGTGTTTGACGTCCGGTCCGCTTTCACCGATGGTGATATCGCAGACAAGTTGTCTTATTTTACTATGCTTATGGCACGCGCAGGGATCTTTCCTGTGGGAGGAAACCGGAGTACCCGGAGTAAACCCACGAGGTTGAGAAGGCGTCCCCATTTCCAAGCCACACCAAGGATCGAAACCACTACCGTAAGCCAGCGGCGACACTCTAGACCACAAGCCCCCCCCACCCCCGCCCTATAACTGTCATACACCGGGGGCCTGTTTCACGAAATTTTAACTAAGATAAAATCAAATTTTAGTAATTTGATTGGGTAATATTAGATTGATTTTAGTGCTTAGCCAATCAAAATTGAAATATCTACTAAAATTTGGATTTTATCTTTAGTTAAGATTTCGAGAAACTGGGTCCAGGAACCTATACTTACAGTTCATGTCACCACGTGTATGCAGTAAACGTGCACTGCCTTGTAAACATTCATAGACAAGCCCTACAGCTACTTAAACATAAATTATGCAAGAGCTAAATCTGCCTATTGCAGGTCTTTCTTTAGACCTGAAATGTTTTCTAAATTATTAATTAGACATTAATTAACTTATCCAAGCCATAATCAACTCTCGATGGCATCGGATTTCTCCGATATTAAATAGTTTAGAACAGTTCAGCCATATTTTGATTTAAGCTAAAAATGGAGGAACGAGACTTAGCTTCGAACAACCAGTACGGTGGTTGAAATTATTGCACACGTCTTGTCAAACCTTCAAAGGCTAATATCTTCGCTCGCAATAGAGTAATTTGAATGAAATTTTCAAATTATTCATTTTACACTATCTATTTTCGAACTATTATAGCAAGAATGGCTAGCTCTTTATCTAAATCTTACATAATGTATCTTTAAATTCATATTCCCAGGGCAATGGTAACGAGTATCATCAGCTCATTAACATTTGTAGTTCGTATTGTGTAATCACTGAATCTATTCTGCTATAATTCCCAATAAATACAATGCCCCAGTTACTGTTGAAATCTGAATATATAAAGGATACGTATATCAGATGATCCAATATAATGTTCATAGTATATATGAATCATCGTGCATGTCTTCATATTCGGCTAATAAAGTTTTGCTTTTATTATTAGTATAGACATCAAAGAGACATCTATTTTATTTCCTAAAGTGAAAACAGGGTTCCTCAAATACACATTCTGATCTTTGGTTAATATAACTTATTTGAAACAATAGGACGTACAAAAAGGGCTCACTGTCAAGATCCTACAAAAATATTAATCGTCATTTGAAATAGGACAGTCGAAAAAGGACAACGTTAGACACACTTCAACCATGGTCATTTGGGACAATATTCTACCGATCACTGTAATCCCATCTAATAAAATATATTTAAGAACTATTTCTAACCTCCCCAGTTTACACTTTACAGGCCTAATATCCAATGCTATTCCAAGTAAAGAATATTGAAGTAGTTTTCATTACTCTCTTTTAAACTGGCTTTAATGCAGTTTATTTGTATGCCTTGATATCGTAATTGGGCATCATAAGATATTCAGCAAAACTGATTAATGTTAATTGCAGACCCGAAAAACTGCTCTTAAATTTTTTTTTTAAATCAGCCAATTACAAATAATGGGAAACTCGTGCTCGTGTCAGCTCTGCAAATAACTACTTATACAATAGAATAAACTAAAGTAAATATAGCAACTTTAAACTTGTCTGCATCTGTTTATCTAATTCAAATGCATCTAGAAAAGTGTTGGTATAATTCCAACGTGTCGGATGAGATTAGGATTTGTTGAAAATTGAAAAGAACAACTATTAATCTTATTCAGATGAGTCCCAATCCCACACAAGATAACATCCACAGCCAACAAGGAATACCCATTTTCCTCTTTTAAAAACAAATGTTTTTTTTCTAATTTCAGATATGTTTTGTGTGTGTTATTGTTAGTGTTTATGCAAACTGAATCAATAAGTGCAGCATTAAGGGTAAGTGGATTACACACAACTATTTATTTATATTTATTTATTTATTTATTTTTTAATGGTAGAAAATATTGCTTTATTTACTCTTTTCCTATATATAACATTATATTTTTAATTAATCAAATGAATAACAACTGCTGAGTATTTAATCTTTAATTTTAAGAATACTTCTTTTCTCGAAGTCCTCCATTTCTTTCAGTATAAAAGCTACATTATATCTTAAATCGTGGAACTTTAAAGTCAGAACCTCAAACATTTTAACTGATCCATCACTTAATGTCATTTTCATATTACTATTACTAACAAATACTCACCGGGAGATTAGAACGCTACAATACGGAAACGACCTTCTGAATTCTTCGATAAACATGGAAATATTCACTATCCAGAAATGAAATGAAATGGGATTTAACGTCCTACTGTTCTGCTCCGAACTGGGCTAATGAGGGAAATTTTGCCCGGATAGCGGCACTACGGTCTACTCTTATATCGAATTCCAACTGTCAGGGATCTTTTACGTGCCCGCCAATGTGTATACGGGACCTCGGTTTTTCGTCCCATCCGAACGACTAGACAGATGTCCTTGCAAGGCCCTCCGTCCTGCATCACAGACAAGGGGGAACCACGCCGGAAAATCTGGATGAACTTTCTCGACCAGTGTAGGGATCGAATACCCGACCACAAGGCTAACGAGTCTTACCCACTTAGCCACCGTGAACCCCATAAACCAACCCAATAGATTTAAGTAAACAATAACCCTGTCCCACAGGGTCCACTTACCGTTTCTTGATTGATGATACTTTCCGTCTCTTGATTGATGATACTTTCCGTCTCTTGATTGATGATACTTACCGATATTAATTTTACTCACCTTCTAGATTGATGATACATATCGTTTTATATTGGGTATACTTACTGCATCCGGTCTTTTTACTTACCACCTACTGTTTGTAATGATACTTACCGTATGATACCTACCGCATACATTTTTGATTTCACTCACCTTTTAGATTGATGATACCTATGGTTTCATATTGGGCATAATTACTACTTGCCGCCCTTTTACTTACTACCTACTGTTTGGTGATACTTGCCGTATAAATATTAATAATTATTAAACGGCATTTACAAACTATACTTTTGCACGCCAGATGCCCCCCATTCCGATACTAGTTTCTTTCTCTCTTTACCACAACTCGATTTTCGCGTACCCTTTTCCGTACTATGAACATCAGTTAATCGTTTCGCTAACCACACTACGTTTCTACTCCTTTCTATAATTAATTTATATATATCCAATATAACTTAACTTTTTGACTAATTTTTTTCTGACATTACATATTATAAAAGTACACTATATAATAGTGGGATCTGAAAACAAGCCGGAGCTTATATAAATTCATCACCCCAGGGATATAATAAAGTACATTGTATAAGATTGTAATCATAAATAATATACTAGTATAAAATTAAACAATAAGTGCAAAAAAAAAAAAAAAAAGAAAAAAAGATTAAACACGATATGATTTAGAACAAGTATTGCCACCTTCGAGATACACTAATTATCACACAATTAGTATTAAAGACAAATAAATATCTATACATCTATGATAAGTTATGTCAATCAAGACACGCCAAGCACAACCCAACAGTACATATTTAGTATGGTCAATTAAGGTAAGGATATAAGGATATTGATAAGCAAAATGAGAAAAACACGGCGAGTAAACAATACGTATAGCCAATAAATGAAAAAAAAGTAGTAAGTATGCCCAACATGAAACGATATGTATCATCAATCTTAAAGGTGAGTAAAATCAAATGTGTATGCAGTAGATATCATCAACGAAAAAGTATATACGGCAAGTATCACCAAACTGTATACCCAATATGAAACGATATGTATAATCTACTAAGCAGCAAAAGAAACGTTAGGTTGGTATATTACTCTGAATAGACGCATTGCATAATACTTGCCAAATGTTTTATTGCATATTCGTGACCACATCTCCAACTTTACCTGAGCAATAAGACTCCTTCCCAAACACAGAATTGAACCCAGGAAATGTTCTCAAAAACGCAACCTGACTCCTGAGATGGTAATGTGTTCTCCATGATTTTCATGTAACTCATGCTGCACGTGCTGTTCACCGGGACCAGCCCTATAAATTGCACCCCCATACCTGGTTGAATCATTCACACTACAACGTTAGCAGCATGCCACGACTTACGACAGCTCAGAGGAACCATTTGCTTGGAAGACTTGACGCTGGCCACACTGCCCAAGCCGTTGCCAATCACTTCCAGGTCAATGTTCTGACTATCTACAGGCTTCAGCAACGCTTTCGGGCCACCAACACCACGGATGTTCGCCCCCGAACTGGTAGACCAAGGGTTACCTCAAGGCGACAAGACCACCATGGTGTGCGACAGAACGTGGAGAATCCCTTCACACAGGCATCCGAGACAGCACGTCAGACAATGGGAACACACGGAAGACCCATCAGTACCGATAAAGTGCGCCGACGTCTCACCACAGAGAACATCCATAGACCTTACATTGAACCGATCCTAACCCCTCGCCATCGACGTGAACGTCTACAGTTTGCCCAACAACACCAGAACTTGCGACACAGTCAATGCAGAACTGTTCTGTTCACAAATGAGAGTCGGTATTGCGTATTAACTGCAGATGGCAGGACCAGAATATGGCGTCGACGTGGCCAGCGTTATTCTGACCAATGTGTCATGGAAGAGACTCATGGGGAGGTCCAAGCATAATGGTTTGGGGTACAATCGGCAGTGGGTCCTGTGGTGTTCCAAAATCTTGGTCCAGGGAGGGGAGGCGGCATCACAGCAGTGTGCTACATCGATCAAGCTCTCAGACCCCACGTCATGCCACATTCGAAACAACGTTTTCCAGCATGACTTTCTACAGCAGAACGGTGTAAACATTATGCACTGGCCAGCCCTAGTCCGGACTTAAACCCGATTGAACATCTTTGGGATGAAATTCAGAGGAGACTTAATAACGTCGTACCGAGACCAAACAAAGCCGATGGATTACGCCAGGCTTTTCTGAGAGTGTGGTTCCAGGTGCCAATGGCGTTCATCAATCGTCTGGTTCACTCCATGTACAGACGCTGTGCTGCTGTTAATGACACTCGCGGTGGACACACCACATACTGATGTATAGACTGTGTACAGACTCTAAACCTTCTCGTGATGTCTTGGAATTGTGATGAATTAATCACTAATGTGTCAACATACTGTTCACAAGAAACTGCTTTGATCCATTTAGTAAGTCGTTTTTTAGAATGATTTGATTAAAGTGACTCTCTGATTTTGAAATCGTACTGACGTTGTTTTTTGGTGTTTAGTATATATAAAATACCGATGATTGAACCTTCTGAAGTTTTACAACATGTCGATGTCGTCGCCCATATCCATCCGCAGGGAAGCATTATCAATCAAGAAACGATAAGTGGACCCTTTGGGACACGGCCATTGTTTACTTAAGTCTATTGGGTTGGTTTATGAATAACTGAACTGCAGTGAATATTTCCTTGTTTGGCGAAGAAGCGAGAAGGTCGTTCCCGTAGAGTAGCTTTCTAATCTCCCGGTGAGTACTTGGTAGTAATAGTATAGTTTTTTTTGTCTTGCTCTAATATAATTAGAGCAGTATAATATAAATGTTCGCTGTTCTCCATGGTGTGACCGCAATTACAGGATGGATTATTCGAAATATGCATTAAAAGTTTGTGATAGTTCACAGTACCTTTTTGGCACCTAAGTCTAATGTGGATTATTTGCAGTCTTCTGTCTCCTAGATAAGGGGTCGCTTGGTCGTTTTTGCATAAATGATCGTTGAACTGTCTTAACGTTGAACTTTGCTTAATGTCGTCTGTGAGATTATTCCAGGAAGAAATGATAGAAGGGAGAAAGGACTGTTTATATATTGTTGCTGACGCGAATATATTTCGATAGTGAGATTGGTTATGTGTAGCATGAGGATTTAATGTAGCGACTTGGGGTGGCACGAGCAGTGAAAACAATTAGATTGTGTCTGGAACGTCTTTTTTAAGGAAATAAAACCGGATTCTTCGTATATAATTTTATGTGATGTTCCTCGAACAAGTCCAGTTACTGTTCTTAGGGCATCAAGCTGGAGTTTCTTAAGCTGAAAAGTCTCCTGGCCTGTACAATTGTCCCATAATACGTCTGCATGGTCACACAAATTATTTAGAGTGGCTTTTTAGATAATCTGTACTTAAAACTTCGAAAATGGTCAACAGTTTTATTGATTTTGGATATGATGTAGTTTAAGTGACCCGTCCAGATGCATGATTTTCCAAGATAGACACCTAAATGTTTATGAGAAGAGACTAATTAAATGGGAGTAAACACATTTAACTTATAATTTTATACTAGTATATTATTTATGATTACAATCTTATACAATGTACTTTATTATAACCCTGGGGAGATGAATTTATATAAGCTCCGGCTTGTTTTCAGATCCCACTATTATATAGTGTACTTTTATAATATGTAAATAGTGTCAGGACCCCCCCCCCCCCCCCAACTGATCCATCAGTTAATGCCAATTCCATTTAAACTGAAGGCTCTAATACTCTATTTAGGAAACTGGTTGAAATAGCTACATCAACTCTCCATTTTAAATTTTCTAATCGAGCGAATCTTGGCCGACTATCATTGGTATGTGAATTAATCTTTTGTCTCCTTGATCCAAATACAACACTCGCTAAATCATCATGGAATACTTTTGGTATTTGCAATTCTACTATATCATCTTTGAAGATCTCCTGCATGTTAAAGATGAAGTAGATTGTTTTAGTGCTGCTTTTAACAGAGTTTTCAGCCCTGTAAAAAAAAACCAGAAGTAATATTTCCTCCGTTAGACCTGTTTCAAATTGTTTTAAATCATCATATTCAACCTGATTTCCTTCTATTGAGGCTACAATCACTTTTAATATTTTTCT